TATATATATATAAAATAGCTATTAAATTTGCTTTTCTGAAATCGCAGCAAACTTCATCGATATTATCTACGCATTAATTATGTCAACTTATCCAATGAGAAATAAAACTGCATAAGAAGGGAGCACAACGACCTTGATCTTGTTGATATGTTGTCATCCTTGTCAAGGTCAAGATCGTCGGCGGATGCTCCCCTTTTCTGCAATTTTACCGAAACAAGAAAGTATTTCCTAGGGACAGATTGCTCTAGCTAGTGTTTTTAAATTATTAGATCTATTTTCTGTTCCTGCACTAGAACTCTCTCGCTTTCGACAAATGTTAAACATGTATCTATCTCACTTTAAAGCCGGAATCCATAGTCCTTCTTAAGTCCTTCTTAGTCTTTCTAGTTCTTAATCTCAAGATGATCTCGAGCAATGTCTTAAGATGCTAATACGGTTGGTCTGATTGGTTCATGACATCTCAAGTATTTTGCCCTAAATTCCAAAAGTGTACATACATTGGCTGCGTTTAGCAGACTCAACAGTGAGCGCTCGCTGTTATTGATGTATTCTTCCAGATTTAAAATGCTGATTGGATGATCTAAAAGACTATACCAATAACAGTGAGCGCTTACTCAACTGTTGAGTTTGCTGAACGCAGTCATAGAGAGCGTTTATATTGACCGTATGTCGTATGTCGTATGTCGTAATCTGTAAGAATTGACTAATTACAGTCAAATATTCTCCTTTCATTCGGCGGTAAGAAGGGAATATTCGAAGGTGATTGGTCAATTTCTTACGGCTTAAGGCTTAAAACATCTATTGTAGATCCGGACTTATTTTTTTGCGTTGTGTCCGGGCTTAAAACTAGAAACACATTGCAATAGAAACAGGAAATAACAAATTTCAACCTATTAGAAACTGTGTATACTAGAATGGACTCACTTTTTGATAGGTTGAAATCTCTTATTTCCTGTTTTTATAAGACTGGCGTCCCATGACGCGAAAATTTACAGCGTAATCAATTACAACTTTGCAGTCATTACTGTTTTCTTTTCTGCGATTGTGATTGGTCTCGCTGTTCCGTTCCGCTAAATTTCCGCTCATTGGACGTCGACCTCAGGTCTGTTTTTTATTGCTGCACTTTGAATCGGTACAATAAGTTGAAGTGAAACAAATGTATATTTGCACTGTGTGTACCAGTTCAGAAAGTGCAGCAATAAAAAACAGACCTATTATCTGTGCT